CCCAAAAAGTTTCTTTTACTTAAAATTTTACTAAAAAGCATCAGTTTATAATTGATGAAAACAAAGCAGAATCGAATGACAAAAGTGAATCATCATTTTTGAATGAAACATCATTTTTTAATGATTCAATAAATTTTATGACAATTTTAGGGCAACAAATTAATTAGTAACAATAATTTACCAACTGTGTAAAATTTTAAAAAAAATGTAGTTTTTAGCGATTTTTTGATTTACATCATTAATTTCACTACATTAAAATCGGAGTAATCAAAAGTGCTGATATAATACTCACGCAATAGTATTAATTAAATAAATAATAATTATTTTAATTGAATAATTCCAAATACTCAATATCTAACCCAATATTTCAATGGTATGAAAGAAAGAAATTTGAAATGAATATCCCACTAAATTTAATTTAAAAACGTCAATAAAAATTAATCATTAGGAGGGGGGGATGGTATACGGAAATTCGAGAGAGCCAAGCTTCAAATAAATTATTAAATGATAAAAAGAATTATAAAAAGAAAGAAAGAAAATAAGTAAAGAAAGAAATTAATGCAAATAATCCAAAGTTGTTTGAACATTATTAATATTATGAAAAAATAAGTTTTCCTAAACACGTCATCAAGCTTAAGCAACTTTTTATAGCCAAATTGCCAATCTTAAAATTCAATATATATATGTAAAAAATAACGTTTTTTTCTTAAAAAAAAACTTTTTTTATCATTTAATTTAATGCTAAAAAACTACAAAAAAGCGATATAGCTATTAAATAAAGATGAAGTACATTATGTGAATAATTTCATTCCTTTCAAACACACATGAAAAACGACGCAAATAAAAAAAAAAGCATTACAACATTTTGCAGTTTTGCTAAGCTATTAAAAATGAAAATTTTGCAGGAAATAATTATTACAACACAAAGCGAATACCGCTATTGAGAATTTTATTCAAAGTTTGAAAAGGTTATTTACGTAAAATAACCGTGCTTATAAATGTATATTTAAAAAAATAATAAGTCTTTTTGTTTCTTTATTTGATAAATGGTCTTAATGTATACGTTTAAAATGAATAAAAATTGCAGTTTTATGATACAAACGCTAGCGCTAGACAAGATGTTTTTCTCTAATTACATAGGCAATGATATGGTGAATAATCGTGTCTGCAGTCAATTTGAGCTCAAAACCTCGAGAAAGATTAACTTTATGCAAAGGAAAAAAAAGACAGTTTTTTTACAAGCTGACTAACAAGTTATACTTGAGAAATAATAATTTTTTTTTTTTGATGTACAATATTTAATAAGGCTTATATCATGCTTTGTGGTTTTTTGTGCCTTAATTTTATAAAAATATCCATTTCTTATCATTTCTAAATGAAATAACATGATATATTTATCGTTAATAAATTTTGTATGGAATACGGCCTTGTAGTTACTTACTCCTACAATACTGATGGCGTGTAGAAATTTCAATCATATTTCAAATTAATTACTCTAATTGCTTTAGTTAAGCCTATTTTAATTTCTAACTTTCATTAGTTATTCAAGCATATTTAAAAATTTAAATAATATTTCCAAAATTTTTTCCTTCAAGTTCTAATAGTTTATTTTGAAATATTCTTTATAAAAAGCACTATGGTCGCAAAAGCACAATACATAGCAATTTTTAGGTAACTATTTTTTTTTAAATTTTATTTTTTGCGTGAAATATATAAATATACATAATTTCAGTCCAAAAGTACTATCTAGTTTGCTCGCCACTATTTTCAAGAAAAATATAAACAATTTTCAAAATATTTACAAGTGTAGCATAAACATCTTTTTGGTGACAAAAACCATTAAAAATATAGGAAATAAAAAACTGAAACTAGTTTATTGCTAAAAAATATTGATGTTAGTTGAAAAAAAAAAAGCTCCGATGGTTCCAATGTTATCCACATATCATGAAAAGCCATTAAAATACAAGGAAAAAAAATCAGAAAATTAAATCATCTGAAATATTTTCATACTTTTTAACACTTTGTATTTGTATACCGCTGTCTTTCAACACTAAAATACCATATCGCTTATTTGGTGAAACCATGATGTAACTGATAATTAGAGTAATTATCAGTTACGTCATTGTTCCACCATATGAGCGATATGTTAATTTCAGGCCTAGTGTCAAACTCTGTTGGAGGGAGAACAATTTACAGACATTTCGAGCAAATCATGAAGTGTATAAGTCTATAAAGAGATTCTGACAGCTGAAGACTGTCTCGCAGGAATCTTTGATCACTTATATAATATCACAAAAAGGCTATAATCTGGAGTAAATTCGGCAATCTCGCTGAACATTCCTCTTTATAAAACTTTCCTATACTCTGTTGCAAGTTAAGAAAAGACCAAGGTTTTAAGTAATCATCCGCGACTGCTTATAGCTCCGTTTTATTTCGTTATCAAGTTATAGCACATATGCTTTCAACACAATATAAATGCTTTTAAAAGTTGACTACGTCAGACAGAAACTTAATTTGTGCTATCTTTTATGATGCATAAGATAGAAATACTTAAAAAAAGTTACAGTTTCGTAGTCTTACTGGAATCCTAGACTTGGCGACATGTTTCCATAAATAAGGAGAAAATTTTTTGCTCTTAAAATAGAAACAACTATATGACGTTGCTAGAGCATTGGATTTGATTGGACCACGAAAAGTGGCTCTTCTTATGGTGACATTCCTTTGACTAATCAAATGCGAGATAAAAAAAAATTTACTTTGTTTCTCCGTAAAAAAAAATCGTCTGCAAGAAACAATACTTATTATCGTTTTATCAGTTTCTTTGAATGCGAACATAGAAAGGCGTTATGATATTTGTTACGATTTTTAGATATCATTTTTAGTAATTCCTATTACTTTTTAATTGATTATTCAATAAGTTAAGTTTTCTTCATTTCATACGATTTAAAAAGCAAACAGAAAGAAGGTTCCACAACGTCGTTTCAAGAGTTGGCGATGTTGATATTCGATCGCGCTGGGAGCTTGGCATCCATTTGGCGTGCACTTATTAGAAGCAAACAGGCTATCTCCCCTGATCTCCATAGTGAAGCGAACATAAACTTGAATTTTGCCCACTCTTCCAACTCAACATCCATTTGTTTATTAAAGAGATTTGGGTTTAAATAATACATGAAATTTTTTTTAAATTTCTTTTATCCCTAATTCAAGAATTTTTTCTTCGGAAAAGCAACCCAAGTCGTCAGTCAAAAATATGATGTTAACTAGAGATGTTAACACGTCGGTTGACATAGATTTTTGTGTTTCTGTGATGCAATGTACATCTTTGCATATTTAATTTGCATCTCCCTCTGTTAAAGTCTGAAATTATTGCTACCCATTTTTAATATTAGCCAGCTGAAAACTCATAACTATACGAAAAATATGGTAGTTTGATTAGAAACACAACATTTTATGAAACATAACTAAATCGCCGACCACAAATATTCTGTAAACAATTATAATGATCCCGTGGTAATTACTAATTATACTAAATAATTAAAATTTAAATAAATTATTGCAAAAGTGTCCAACCCGCGAAAGTGATAAGGACTTTCTCACAAAATTCAAATAACATTCACTTATTTTTTTTTTAAATAAAATAATTTTTTTTAATTCAAATTAAAATTTTTTAGTCATTTGTGACTACAATACAAATCTGTCAATTATTTCATCGTGGGCAACATTATTTTCAATTGACACAACTAATGCAGGTAGCAACCTTACGGCAAAAGTATTTTCATTTTCATTTGGTTGGCATAGAAAGGCTCACCAATCAATCTTTTTTTAAACTTAGTAGAAATAATAAAATAGAAAGCCTGTTTCCTTAAAGATTAAATGAAGTCATTCAAAAACCTTTGCAAAAAAAAAATTCATTTTTTGACTTTCATTTACAAGTATTATAAGTTTTTTTTTTTCATTATAGCTTTGTCTAAGCTCTCAAATGCAACATTTTGTCTGAGTTGAAAACTTAATGATCAGGCCAATCTTCACTTTTAAAATGTTAAAGAAGGTATATATAAGCCTGCGCAAATATACCTTGTTTCCATGATGGTCATAAAATCTAAAATAGACCTTAATAAGGCCAATTTATCTTCGGTTTGAGAACGCTTTCTGCTATTGATTTGCGAATGATGATTCATCCTCGATTTCAGAAGACTTTCCTAGCCTTGTTTTATGAAGACAGATTCAATCTCAATATAAAAAGGGTTGTTTTAATAAACAAAATGCGATAAAAAAGAAAAAAAGACATACTTCCTCCTCTAAGCATTTAAAAGTGTACCCTTAAATAATAAAAATTAGCCTTAAACCAATTTACAAGTTATAAGACTTCTAAAAAGTGTATAAAATATTAAAAAACAAATATTATGTTCTTCCTAAAATGGTTATGACGACTTCCTTGATATCCTCTGAATTATTAGACCTGAAAATCAGATATTTACAGGTTACTTCGTAATAACCATCCTTGAAGTAAATTTTTCGAACGAACTCCAAAAAAAGTACACACATAAGAGGTCACACATGAACATTTAAGCTCAGAAAAAAGCAGAAAATGATTTCCATTCGTTAGGGAGGAAGGTTAGACCGGAAACATCAAAACCATTTGATTACCCGATGAAGCTTGGAGATATTTCTAATAATTCCCTATCAACTTATCTTTCATCAGACAATCAAACTGGTTTTGTCCATCCACCCATTCATCCGTAGTGCTTCGTTAGATTTCGATAGCGTTTTTATTGTTTCCTCACATAAATATTAAGTTCAAACCCCAAATGTCGATACTTTTTTTTTCACTTCATTTTTAAAAGGATTCGTTAATTATATATTAAAGGAGTTCGTTACGATATATTATTTTATTAATTTTTACTCTACACATATATTCGTGTTACATGATATGGTTATTATCTTCGAATTTTCAACATGAAAGTAAAAAAGGTAACAAAAAGTTCATCATTTTAGATTTTCAATTTATTAATTTCAATGATTATTAGAAACAATCTTAATTAGTTTCCGATTTTGCGCGAGCAGAGAAGTTTGTTGATTTGATTTATCTCAAGAGTCGTAGATAATTCTTCTTTTCATGGTTTATTTTAGCTGTATCTTCTCTGCGTCAGTAGCCATTTTTTTCTTTGGACTCCTTGGGCACGCCCAGCCCTATCGTTTACTGAAACCCTTTTCTTTCCTCTGAAAAAAAAAGAAAAAAAAAAAAAAGAATTAATAATCGGAAAAATATTTTCATCAGGTACTGCAAAAGAAATTATGACGATGATAAAATCCATTTTAATATTCTTTTTTCGTTTCAAAAAAGGTCTCTAAACAAGAGTGCAATTTCTTAAAACTGCAGTAGTTCTCTAGTTCAAATAGCAGACGAATTTTTATTCATTATACAGTTCTTATAAATCTTTTTTATTACTCATATTGTTTAAAAATATTCAACGAACAAAAGTGCGCTTTGTCAAAATTGAAATTGCAGAAATATTAATTACCTTTCACTCTCTTTTATTTTCCTCTTCCTTCTCACCATTTCATTCGACGTCTCTCTGAAGTTTTTGCTTTACAGCTGGCGTCATTTCAACAATCTTTTAAAAGAAACAAAACCTTTTAACGATTTTTGCATTGTTTGGAAGTTTAAAATAATAAATTACAATGGCAATAATAATTTTTTCTAAATAATAGAGTAACAGAGGTTTTTAATTGATTTATATTTTCAGGAAATACTTTAATTTTGTTAGCATTAGATATTTACAATGAAGTTATTTCATAAAAACTCAATTATAATATTGTTAGAATTTTAGCAATAAATAAAACATGTATTCAAATTTAGAGAAACATTAATTTCAATATAGTATTGTCATATTACGGTTTAAGATAGACATTCAGAACAACAAGCACTATTGATTCGGGTATGGTCTCATTCGATTAAACGAGAAAAAATAAATAGGAAACAGCACCGCACTTGTCTGTTAATGTAAGATGTGTAAATAAGTGCAAGCACAAAATTGTACTTTTTGTACATAAAACGCATTTGACTTCTAAATTATTAGTCCGATTGTACCTTACATGTTCAGATAGTTCCTTGGTAGCAATGTAAAGTGTATACATAAATGCGTGACAAAAAAAAGTACATTTTAAGACATATATAAACTTGTACCTTTTGAATTATTTGTTCTATAAACTTGTTTATAGTCTAATTTAATTCAGCATAAAAAATATAATAGAAATAATATTTTACTTTTCTAGATAGCATTGGAAATATGTCCAAGTAAAAACAAGTACTTTTTGTACATAAGACCCTTACACCTTCTAAACTATTTGTTCTATTGTTTCGAGTTTGATTTAATTCGATTAAGCATTAAAAATACGTTGAATACATTACTTCATTTGTTTAAATATCAATATTTAAGTTCTCCTCCCGACTACCAAACCCATCACAGAATTTCGTGGGATTTTCATATAATACCTCTCTAAGCAAATCCCAAAGGCTTGTAATAGCCCTAAGAAACGGCTTGTTATTTTGAATGTCTGAGTTTGGTCAAATCTTCGCCTAATTTGACTGTACTAATAAAATTTTTAAGACTATAAGGACAGAGTAACAAGTATGTATTATTACTATTTATGATTTACCCAAAAGCAAATTTATAATTTAGTCTTATGGTTATAAGTACAGTAAATTGATATTTTATTTTATTTTATATCCGTCGTTGAACAGCCGACCCAATTTAGGGTTTACGAATACTAATGTTCAACTCTGCAGCCTTGTAATTTTGAACCAATCCAGAAGACAAGAAAGCTCCTGGATCAGTACCCCCAGAGGTATTGATTTGTTATGGGAACATGGAGGACTTTGCGACTCGACAGATTTAACGTGCATCAGTCACCATTTACTACACCGGATGGGATCGAACCCACGAACTCTTGGACATGGGCCCAGTGCCCTACCAACCAGGTTATTCCGGCCAGTAAATTGATATAAAGAATTACGTAAGTTTTTTAAATAATTAATCAAATTCTGAATTAAGTTTATTCGAAAGAGTTCTTGCAATACTCTACTAAGTTTCGCTGTAAAGAGTTTTTCTACGATGGAGTACTTGCAAGCGACGTAGTGTGGGTATCTCGATTCTGATAGGTTGTTGAAACGGGGCATTTGTTTACGTTATCAACTGCTCTTTTCATTCTATTTCTAGTAAACCAAGCCCGCCAAGTATCAATTTACTCAAAGGGCGCATTCTTTTTTCTTTCACGAAGATTTCAATTCTTTTACTGAATATTTCTTACTTAAAATAAAGATAGGCGCGATTCTTAGTCATGTACGCAAAAAAAAATATATCACGGTTATAAAAAAATAGCTAAACAGATAATAATCTAAACAGGTAAAAGAGAAATGATTATATTTTAACAAATTCAATGTTCGATACGACGTTGTATTTAATTAACTTCACGTTAATTAACATTAGTGACATAGTCGAGAGACTCAGCTCGACTTTAACACATGTATGGGTATCGATGATCTTCTTCTTGAAGTGCAAGTACCCAATTCCCTAAAAAACTTTTTGTCCTACCTTAAACCCTTTAAATAATGTTCCGTTGGTCAATAATGTCATGTCTGTAAGAGACACTTTAAAGAACAAAAACTCATGAAGCTAAAAATTTCAGCATAGATATTATGTAACTCTATTTAAATACCTATTAGATCGAATTATCACGTTGTGTAAATAAATAAGTTGTTTTTTATATTTACATTTAATTATAGTAATAGACATTACATAATAAAAACAAAAAGAAATAAACTAAAATACTTAAACCACCGAAAGCTTCTACTTTATCAACCAACGTTAAAACATTCCAAATTGCTGTTAGTATTCAAGGTTTGAATTTCTTTTTTTAAACATTCTTCACTAATAAACAATTGTTGCTATTCAAAAATTCCAATTCTGTTGTTTGAAACTTGTAAATGAGTTTGTAATAACAGACATAGCATCAATTTCCGGACAGCTGTATTTATTTACTCAAAAATTAATATTTTTCCTAATTGTTTTTTGTAATTTTTTTAAAATGTAACTTTGATATTTAATACAATTTTAAATTACGAAAAGGTGAAATTTTTTGCTCCGAAAAATAATTCTAAGAAAAACATGCATTTGCGAGCTTTGTTTTCACTTTCCTTTCAATTTTTTTTTTAATGTCAGAAATTTGTCTGAAAGCGTCGACTAATGCCCACGATGAAAGAAATTAATGAGTGAATTTTCTAAGATTAAGAAGAAAAAAAAAATTTTTTTTTGGTGGTTAACAAATTACACTGAATTATGGAAGCGACCCAAATAAGAATTAATAATTACTATTTCAAATATTGGAAATCAATTTAATATTAAATTATATTGCATCATCGATTCTTAAACTAGAAAAAAGAAAAATAAGCTGATTGGATTAAAATATATTATTAAAANATATATATATATATAATTATTGCACCTTAAAGTATTAAAATGAGAAATGAATATTATGCAACTACTTATGAAGCAATTAAGTTTTTTAATCATCAAATTTGCAGACTTGTGTCTTCTATTATGTTATGCAACATGCTTCACTAAAAGTAGAAAGAATCGAAACATGCAACTCCTTACTGAGGAAATAGTTCTAACAAATATAAGGGAATATATTTAGAAAGACAGGTGTGAAAGGTCATGCATGTTAATACGTACGTTACTTTCATGGTATCATTATCCAAACGGTAAATATTTATTAACTGAACTTCTGAGTTCGGAAAATTCGCAGGTGGTGTGTTAATAATTTGGTTCGTTAACATAAAATGAATGATATTAATAACTAGTTGCCAGGTGCTGGTGATATGGGTTATTTTCAATTTCTGTTCGACTTAATTTCAATAAAATAGAGTCCCGATTCTGATAATAGAACAATAAACTGGGGTTGCATTGAAACATGTATGAAAAGTTTGTTTGCCATGCAAACATATTTCATACAAACTTTTTCTTTGCCTACATGATGATTCCCGATTTATAAATCTCGTATTTGAATTATCGTGAATACAAATCTCTAGTTATTATTTGTAAATAGCCAACATATGAATCATGATGTATCGTTAAAAATTAATCGTTTATTTGCACATTTCACATCAACCCACCCTGATATGATGAATTATGTGAAAAATCGCTATCAAAATGTGACGAATTAGTATCAGTGCCAATTACATTAAAGATGCAGTTAAAATCATCAAAACAAGTTAATTTATCGGATGAAAGGCGTAACCATAGTCATCTTTCTCTCCTTTTTAGCCTTACCCGACAAATAAACTGGTTTTGAAGAATTTAATTTTACCTAATGAAAGTTTTACCACTCTTCTCAAATTATGAAATAGTATGAACAAGATAACTGAGCCATAATATCGCTCAAGGTAGTGCTTATTTGAAACATGTTATCGCACTTATTTACCTTGCTTGCGTGATATTATGTAAGATATGGTTCAATTTAGCTTTTTATTAAAGTTGCCCCTAATTTGCCCTCTATTATAGTTCAAGGTATCGATATTATATCGCTCAATATAGTGCTTATTTGAAACATGTTATTGCACTTCTTTACCTTGCTTACAAGATATTATGTAAGACATGGTTCAATTTAGCCCTCTATTAAAATTGCTCCAAATTTGCACTCTATTAAGGTTCAAGGTATCGATCTTATACGGTTTAACGTAGTGCTAATTTGAAACATATTATCACACTTGTTTACTTCCCTTACTCGATATTATGGTTCAAATTGAACAGCACTTTAGCTCTTTATTTTGGGTGCCTCAAACCACCTAGGTTGCCTTAGGCACTCTATTGTGATTCAAGGTACCGATATTATGGTTCAACTTTGAGCCGGTTTTTCTAAAAGTTAATAATGATCTTTCAAAAATATTCTAAACTTATATTCATCTCATTTCCTTGTGTATTATTAATGAGTGTTTATAAACGTTTATGATATATTAGGTATACCCTTATATAACTTTCGTGACTTGCATGGTATTTCAACATGAATTCAATGATATTGCATGTTTTTTTTTTTTTTTTTACCAGTTCTCCAAATCAAGTGCCATCTTTTATTTCAGCTTTTCACTTTATGAAGATTTTAAGAGGATGAATTTTGGCTGATTCATTAATTAATGTATTACTTTTACTATAGCGAAAATTTTGAACATTAAAAACTCGTTAAAGAATCATTTGTTGTCATTCCAAGTGACTGTTAATTTTCGTATTACGAAATTTATATTTACAGTAAATAAAAAGCTAATTTATGAATGACAATAAACTGCGTTATATTTCGATTTTGAAACGAATGAATGAATACAAAATAGGAAGATCGATTTAAGATTCTAAGAGAGATTCATATTTGCTGCAAATCTGCAATAGTCGAAGCAAATATATGATTAGATCAACGCAATAGTAACGCATCAATTGCAACGGAAGTGAAAAAAATTAATAAATGTCATGACTCAAACAAACTAAAAAGAAGAAAAAAAGTGTAAAAAGAAATTTGGCTAAAAAATTGGATTTGGCTAAGGATTTGAAAGCTACTTCGTGTATTTTTGAGCTTATATTATATTTCATGCAAAATTTCGATGTAGTTTTTATGAGAAATTATTGAATTCAGTTTTTTTGTTGTTCTTTTCATAATGGTACACATTAAAATCCATTTTTTTCTTTTTAAATTTTGAATTCATTTTTAACTGCTTGCAATTTTCTGAAAAACTACTAAAACAAGCGTTTATTCTTAAAACAGGGTGTTTATAAATTCCCGGACCCGGATGCCATTTTGATGCTTAATAACTCATAAAATAATGAAGATATAAACAAACTTATGGTATTTATTGATGGAATAACTCATATATTTTCCTTTTCAGGTTTGAATATCTTTACTTTTGTAAATATCGTCTGCGCGTGTGGTTAATTTCAGATAATTTCATTTTCCAGTCTAAATATCTGTACTTTTCTAAATATCGTCTGCTTATTAATTGCATTTTTCTCTCTTTTGTTTTTGGCAAATATTGCAATGTTATGTTTACTTTTGATGTGTTTCTTCTAAGTAGTACTTTTCTACGTGATGTTTTATTCGAGCGGATATTAAGGAGAACGCATACACCACAAGAGAAAGCACAGATTTTATGGTGGTTTATAGAAACGAGATCGATAGTGCAAGCACAGAGAAATTGCAGAAGAATTTACCGTGCGACGAAGGGGGCACACGTGGAAGTTCATTGACAAGGGTCATGAAACTTTTTGAGTCTATCTAACCATTTATGTTATTAATTTTAATCTATCTTTATTATTTTATGAGTTACTAAGCATCAAAATGGGTCCGGGACTTTATAAACACCCTGTATTATTTATCCCTTATTTCTTTAATAAGGTACACATTCTTCAGCGCTTTTTTTTTTCACATGGGTTTTTCTATGACTTTTTAGTTTTTTTCCTTCAAAGTTGCCTTTAAAAATGGACGTTTATAAAAAAATACTTAATAGAAAATTTTTTTCCCCGCTTTATCTCACATTTCTCTTGAAAAGATACTCAATGTCTAACGTTTTCTTTCCTCCTTCTTTTTTTAATATTTTTGTCGTTGATTTTTTAGTTTCTACATTGGAAGACAGCTATACAGATTACTTACATTTTTTTCTGAAAAAAAATTTATACCTTAAAACTGTTTTTTTCTTCTTTTTTTTAATTATTATTATTATTCCTTTAATTGTAATTCACATTTCAACAGGTTTTCAGTTGTTAATTTTTCATGTACATTAAAAAACACTTTTTAACAAGCAAAAAAGCCTAAATTGAAAACTTAAAATTATTTTGAAGAACAGAATTAGCTTAAAAGGTTTTCACAACTGATAAACTATTGCTACTTATTTATTTTATTTATTGGTACACATACATAAAGCCCTGGATAATCTATGTATCCAGAGCTTTACACATATATACTTGTGTGCTCAATTATTTTCTTGCAAAACCGTTTTACCTTAAATACCATATTTCATTTCAAAAATGTAAAGATTTTAAAGAGTAAGAACTTTACAACATTTTAAAGAGTAAAAATTTTAAAACTAAGCAAATTTTTAACAGACGATCACAGACTCATTTTCATAGTCGCATTACAAGTTATTAAATTTGAAAACGATTTTAAACAAAGTTTGATTCTGTAACATGAACTAACATTAAAAAATTTCTGTTTTATTTTCAAAAATTATATTTTAATTTATTTTATGTTTTTATACATTAAAAAAGGATTCAACCAAATTAACTTTTGCTTGGAAAAAACTTTAGTATTCCTAGTAATATTCTTCATCAAAGCTCATATTTTAAAATTTTTAATATTTATTTCCATATCCAAAGAGAAATCGGCGTATTTTCTTTTCACAACTAAATTTCAAACCTCAAACTCTTAAGTTTCCTGGAACATTAAAATTCTTTATTTCTACTACTGATACTCGACAATTGTTACTAAGAAACTAAAGTTTTTTTTAATGTAATAACTGGTGAGTGGCATTATCAACGTTAGGAATAAAATTAGAAAGATAATAAGAATTTGTACTCTAATATCTTTAATTTTGTACTTCTTATGCTTATTTTCTGAATCTCTTATTTCTAATTTCATAACATGTATAAAATGTCTCTTTCTATATGATCAGAAGATATTTTGCTGGCATATGTTAGAATTTTCCACTTCTGTCATTATTGATATAACAAAAGAATTATTTAATAACTTATAACAACGATAAAAGAAAGAACAATAGAATGACCTTTATATTGAACTTTATAATGAACTTATATAGTTTTGAGCGAACTTTAATGCTGTTTTCCCTAAATGATAACAAAGTAAAGGCAGAATACATTTTCACAATTTTTATACTAAAATATATTTAAACTTTTATATTTTCGAAAATTTTAATTGTAAGTCGAATTTTTTCAACGATATTTCATATCTTATTATTAAATGCCACGAAACTGAATGTTGCCATTTTTCGCAGAATCAAGAGAAACAAATTTGAATACACATTGTTTCATTTGAAAAAAGTCGGAAAATCTGCCCATTGAAAAGCAATATAACAGAAAGTTAAATATGGCACTAAAATCAAGCGATATTCCAGGAAAAAAATTTATTCCTACAATTATATTTACTTAGAAGTTTGGCTAAATACAAGTAAATAATTAAATGCTCGCAGCTTGAGAAGAATACGTGATTAGCACAAACACGTGATTTAAGCCTAATCACGTGGCTGTGCTAGGCCGGCTAGCGTAATAGCAATTAGGCTTGGTTTGTCACCAAGTTGAACCAGTTTTCCGACAAAATTTAATTGGATACCTGAAAAGCGACGTCACACGTGTGCGTTAATCCAAATTGGTTTCCAAATCATGGTATTAACGAATGCCATGATTTACCTGCGATGACGTCGCTTTCAGGTATCCAATTAAACTAACTATACTTGACGCCGTGTAAAACTATTCTTGACACGGAATAGGAAAAAAAGGTCGATATCACCATTCAAACTCTAGATGAATGCTGTTATTGATAAAATCTAAAAGAAATGAATATTTGAAAACAATTTTCATATGAATATTTAAAAACAAATGAACTTAAGAATAGTTTGCGAATTTTGATCAATTTGTAATCTAATGTAGCGAAAAAGGGTTGAAATACCATTAAAAAAAAAAGTTAAGTTGCATTTGCTACCATATAATAACAGAAGTTTAAACTTAAAACGATTGAAAAATAAAAAGAAGGCTTTATTTCTATAATCGTTTGATTAGATTATCATTT